CAAAAATCAGCCGAAAGTGTCCAAATAATTGGTCTGGCAATAAAACGATGAATCGGTGAGAAGGTAACGTGTTCATTTAACCCTGAAGTGGTGCTCCGCGGCACCATAGATTTCCCCTGGATAGGTGGTTTCATGGTTTAGCACTCTGCCACTGTGGTGAAACTACTTTGACTGAGGGTTACATGTGGACTAATATACCGTAAAAGCCCGCATATAGTTTGGGGTGTAATTTGGGGATAGCGAACACGAGAAAAAAAGTTTCCTCCTGAATATAGCCCGAGTAAAAAAGAAAAATACAGTTATTGACACACTTCATTCGTCATCATCGGACGCACTCTCTCCCAAAGCTCCCTTGTTGGAAATGTTCTCCCACAGCACATCATCGCAGTGCTATCAAGCGCATTCAAGCTAGAGCATTTTTGAATGCACGGCAAATGAACGCCTCGGAAATGCAGGCCCAAGCCTAGACTATCCATGAGCACAGCATCGCTGGAGAGGCCCGTTTTAGCTGTCCGGCAGGGCTCACTTCTGGTTCTCCTGACCTTATCTACTCCATGTACAGGAGCTTAACGTGGTCCTTAAATGGCTCGTTAAGGCACACATCAAGCAGCTGCAGCTGTGATGTCATCCCAGACAATGAGCTCGGTGCGGGAGTTGCGCAGCAGTCGTTTTACGGAGTCGGTCAGGTGACACTGAAACCCGTCGAGCACAACCATCGAAGGGAGCCCCAGCAGTGCTCCGGGCCGTCGACACCACACAGACTTTATCCAGTCAAGTACTATAAATTCCTCCATCCACCCCTTGTCTTGGCAGCACATAACATTTTCTAAGAACTTCTCTCCCTCCGGCAGTGTTTTTCATTTGAACAGCAAGCAGTGCAGGACAACATTACAGTCACCCTTGTTTTTTGGTTCCTAATTGATTTCACTACAACTTGCCTGGAACCTTTCTGACGCACCGTCAACGCCGAAGGCATATCCAGGTAGAATGGCGTTGTATCTCTGCTGTCGATCTGGCTCCGCTGTCGATCTGGCCCAGCTGAAAGGGGACAGCCTTTTGCAATGCAATTACGTACTTTTGAAACTTCACAGAACTCTCTTCGTAGCTCTTTGATAGCTTCTGCCAGATCGACGCACACCGACGTAGGGAGAATCCAGCATGGCGCATGGAGAGAGACACCCAATGCTTGCTCGCTTTGAAATCCTCCAGCTGAATACCTTTTTCTCGGGCGATCTCCCTTGCATTCGCTTGTAGCAGCTCGATGTTGACAGCGAGATGTGCAGCTCGCTGCTCCTGCACAAAGCCTGCGAGTTCTTGTTCCATGTCAGAAACACTCCATTTTTTGGTTCGCGGAAAGTTTTTGGCTCGCTACTGCAAGCAAAAAGGGCGTCCTTCTGCTTGTGCCAACCGCAAATACTCCGCTTGTTGACTCCGAACTGCCGCTCTCCGTCACAGTTACCAATGGTTCCGGCAGCAGCGATAACTTTTTTTTTTTTAAAGCAGTGGAGTACTACCTGCGCGGTGCTGACATGGCATAAAATCAGAGGAGTGAAATAGTGGCTGTCGTTATGGGCACCAAGTTGAAGCAAAGGCCACTTACCATTGTTGCACACGTGAATCTGTAAGATCTACTACCGCCACTAACACCACTTAGCACCTAGCACAGAAATGCACAAACACCTGATGATGATGATGATACCACTGCACCATGCTGAAAACAAAACTGAATTTCGGCCGAACATTTTTGGAACTCGCATATAGTACAGGGCCAAAATTTTGTACCCTAAAATCTAGAAAAAAAAAACCTTGGGCTATACAGGGCTTTTACAGTAGAGTAGAGGCTCATTAAACAGAACCTGAAGGGACCAGGAAAATGTGCTACCCTTAAAAGGAGGTGCATTTACAGAGAGATGAACAACTGTGATGTGTGGGGTTTAGCGTCCAAAAAACACCATATCATTATGAGAGACGCCGTAGTGGAGGACTACGGAAGTTTCGACCACCTGGGGTTCTTCAACGTGCAAGCAAATCTGAGCACACGGGCCTACAACATTTCCGCCTCTATCGGAAATGCAGCCGCTGCAGCCGGGATTCGAACCCGCGACCTGCGGGTCGGCAGCCGAGTACCTTATCCACTAGACCACCGCAGTGGGGCGATGAACAACAGTGGAGAATCCAAGTACGATACCAATCGGCTGAAGGCAGTACCATTTAAGGAGCAGTTCTGTTACAAATTTCAGTTTACCGAGGGTATACTGTACACTTTTTCGTTCATTTTGAATACTTTGAAATTTACAACAATTAAAATTTATACCAAGTGAATTCGAAGACAGCGATATTCGAAAGAGCCCACGACTAGGCATTTCCACGTGCAACGAAGCTCCACATGCATTTCAGGTGCAGTCGCGACAATGGCAACTTGCGGGCCTTATTTGACATTGGACTTTGTGATGAAAGTCAAAATTTTGAAAAAAGTTGAGCTTGAAGGCAACGCCAAGCAAGAGATTGCACGTAAGTAAAGCATCACACCTTATACTCTGTCAAACATCCTTAAGAACAAGCACTCAGTTCTGCACGTGCCTGAAAATGACCAGTTCAAAATGTCTCGCAAGAGAATGCACACCAGCACACACCCGGTGTTGAAGCAAGTGCTGCCCACTTTGATTCCGAAAGCGCGAAGCAACAGACTTCCACTCAGCTGCGATATGATTGCAACGAAAGCCTCGATTGATTGATTGATATGTGGGGTTTAAGGTCCCAAAACCACCATATGATTATCAGAGACATCGTAGTGGAGGGCTCCGGAAATTTCGACCACCTGGGGTTCTTTAACGTGCACCCAAATCTGAGCACACGGGCCTTCAAACATTTCCACCTCCATCAGAAATGCAACCGCCGCAGCCGGGATTCTATCCTGCGACCTGTGGGTCAGCAGCCGAGTACCTTAGCCACTAGACCACCGCGACCGGGCGCAACGAAAGCCTCATCGCTTGCAACAGCGCTAGGCATCAACTAACTTCATTTCCTCCGATGAATGGCTAACACGCTTCAAGCATTGCCATGATATGGTGTTTAGAATTGTGATTGGAGAAAGGACTGTTTACAACAAGTCAACATGTGCTATGTGGAGCAAAGATAAGCTTTGCGAATACATGGGCGAATATTGGGCGGAAGATATCTTCAATGCCGACAACACGGTACTTCTTTACAGAATGTAGCCCGCGAAGTCGTTGACCTTCAAGGACGATGAATGTACTGGAGGTAAGCGAAATAAGGTAAGTGTCGGTGCTGATAGCAGCAAACCTGCTAAGCCTAGATGTCTTAGGCCCGTATTCACAAACAAACCTTGGCCATTCCTCACATTTTTCTCAAGTTTCTGTACTCTTTACGTGCGTTATAAGGGCACAGAAATGGTAACGGGGTAAAATATAGCAACGAGATTGGTTCATGTGTACTAGCCTACTTTGTACAGCAAGTGCAATAATGGCTTAAAACTGATGAGGAAAACTCAATGTAAGGTTGAGGATAATTTGTGAATACGGGCATTAAGGGTGTGAAAATGCTGCCTATTGACTACACATTGAACAGGAAAGCATAGATGACCACAGCCATCTTCGAGGATTGGTCGATAAAATTGGATTGCAAGTTCCCGTCATTAAAATCCAAGGTGTTGCTCCTGGTGGAGCAGTGCAGTGCACACATAAATGGGCCACCCTCGAGAGCTATCTGTGTCGCTTACCAGCCAGTGAACACCACATACATCAGTGTTACAACCAAAGGACCAAAGAGATTATAAAAAAATATTAAAGTACTGTATCGGAAGCATCTTCTTGAGTGGATGCTGTTGCGTACGGACAATTCGAGTCAGTATGAGGTGAGCCTTCTCAGTGCTATCCACATGCTGGCTGGCGTGAGCGTGGGGTAGCGTAAAAGATGAAACCATTATGAACTGCTTTAGGTTGTGTGGTTTAATTGCAAGTGCTGCAGATGATGATTAGTCTTGTACAGTGGGGGAAGCAGACACGAGTAAGCTTGAAGTAGACAGTTTCCTGTCAGCTCTACGTGACATTCTTTTCAAGGAATATGTTTCCACTGACAGTTTAGTAGAGACATGCGGTACGCTGATAGATGCTGAGATCATCAAGATAGTTAGACCCAGTGAGGCTTGTCACAGAACTGAGGTGGACGACGACGACGTTGCAAGTGAGCCACTACCGCGGGCTGCTAATGTAGCGACAGGCCTTGCTTAGAGCGGCACCAAAGAAGCACTCGGGCACATATACAGCCTGCCGGACTTGCTTTCTGCTGCAAGATTTAGCAAGCAGAAGCAAATGACAATCACCGATTTTTTTTTTTTTTTTTCATAAACTGCTTTGAATTAAATGTATTTTTCGTTCTTCGTGGGTAATTAGAATTCCGTTTAATTCAAAGTTTTTGGCAGTCCCTATGAACTTCATATGAACGAGAGCCTACCGTATAAGCTCTTTATTACATACTGGTAGGCACTTTAGGGACGCAGCCAGATATTTTTTTTTTGGGGGGGGGGGGGGGGGGGGGCACCTCCTTGTTTCTGGGAGAGCACAGCCTTGAAGTGGTATGTTTTCGCTCTATATGCCATGGCGAAAAAAATTTCAAGAGGGAGGGGGAGCACGGGCCCAGTGTGTCACCTCCTCCTGGCTACACCGCTGGCGCACTCCTATGATGAGTACGGGTCATGCCTGGGGTATAAAGTGCTCAGAATGCTGTTGTGCAATGTTTATCGCACTTGAGGAAAAAAAGGTCAATACATTGCCCATGCAAGCATGCCTGCTCTTGCACAAAATGCACGGACAAAAATGCTGAAAAAGCCATATTTTATACACTGGAAAATACAGTATGCTTAGAGCCTTCAAACAACTTCAGTAAAAACCCTCCAAGTCACAAAACAAACCTGTATCTGCAGATGTAGCTCAAGAGTTCATCAAGAGAAAAATAAGTGTGCGAGAAAAACAACTTATTACCTTCCCAGCATTTGAAGAGATAGCTTTGGCTACAAAGTCCTCCAAGTAGCTGCTCAAAGGCACTCCTCTGATTGTGATGACTGCTTCCTGTGTCATCAACGTGCTGAAAGAAAGACACAAACAAAAAAGGCAAGTTTATATTAAACTTGTTCCGATTCCCCATCCCTACACTTTCTCCGATTGTGCTCTCACAAGCTTGAGATACAATATTCTGCACACAGTGGGGTGCAGCTGGTAGCATTAGGCATAACTCAAGATGCAAGTTTCCTCTCTGCACTGTGAGCACCTTTGTATGAAATGGAGGTGGAACAGAACTAGCACTCAAAGTAGATGCACAACCTTGTCGGAATGTTGTGTTACATGGATAGAAACATCCGTCAAGCAGGAGCTCTAAAAGACTGCTCACAGTGCTAAGCTGCAATCACTGCGAGTCGCTAAGTGCATTAGTTGTGCTAAACGATAATGAGTATTCAAGAAGCCGTAGGAAAGCGATTTCATTGTGTATGCTGATAAGTTGGACTTGGAAGCACGGAATGTGAAATACCAACAGTTACAACTTATACCTTTGCATAGGGTGATGCAGTAACCCCTATCCAAATTGCAAGAAGATGCTTCAGAGCACTGAGAGCCAATAAAAATCATTCCAACTATAGAAATGCCATAAAACAGCATATCCAACGCAATTATAGGCAATTTTGACACTAAACGTACATTTATGAACTCATGGGTAGACATAGTCATAAGATATACCTAAGCCAGCTGTATACTTATTAATACATAACTCAAAATAAAAATTACAAGCAGAGTCTAGTTACGTCAGCAGAACTCCTTTCCCTCAACAGCTATTGGAGTAAACACCAAATTCTGCAGAGGCAGTGTACCCAGTGAAGTGTAAAGTGAGGGGCGATACTTGGCCTTTGAGAAGGCGAGCGCATGCAGTTTCTGTCCAGCCATCCCAATTGCCCTGCTCCTCAGTAAAACTAAGTATCGCCTCGCGCGGCCCGGCTACCACGAGAAGGTGCATGCACTGTGGATTCCAGCAGCGGCAAAGAACGCGGCAGACAACAGAGTGCAAGGAATTCTAGCATGTGCATTGTTTTTTTTTTTCAGGTACAGGCAAGAAGAATCGTCAGAATTTTCTGGCTGCACTGAAGTATTTTTTTTGTTACTGCATGTATTTTGGTCCAATTAACGAAGAAAAGCATGGCAACTGCTGGATTTTCTTGACATGGATCTCTGTAAGAAGGAATCAATTCACTGTGGCACTATTACTCCTTTTTTCATTACGGTCCATTTTGTCTCTGCATTAAATACCTCTATTTGAGAATTATAGATGCATTCTAGCATCCTCTTTTCTTGAGATGTGTACTGGCGAAAATTATTGCCCTGCTATTGTGACACATTGTTTTGCTATTTTATCACGTACAGATTTTTATGGGGTGATCAACCGAAGCACAGTTATGCACTAGATAACTAAGTGCCCTAGTCATGTCACTGAAGCACAATGATAAGTAATTTTGCCGGAATATTGTAGAAGGCTTCAATTAGCAGCCCTACATATACTCTCCCCGTTTTTCACAGTGAAAGTGCCTGAGTTGTCGTCTCCTTTTTCATCACCAGTATTTCGATTATGTTCGATAGCACAATGGCATCGTGTTCATTTACAGCTAGTACACTCGACTGCATCCAAATCAAAGGGTCGCACATGCAGCAGAACGACGTCGTGTCTAAATAAGACTGATTATTTATAGAGATAGATTACTGAAGAAAAAAAAAAAGGAAACCGTCACTGCTATGTAATACCACAGTGTTTCTTACCATGTACACCAAACACTCAACGCATGTGGCAGCCTTGGTGAACAAGCAGAAGATTTTTATGCTCGTTCTTAAACTATGCAACGTATCTACTGAACACTGGAAAACTCACAGTGCGAATAGGCGACCATAAGTGACTAAAACTTGTTTGCAACCTGCCCATAGTCGTCTCGGAACCGGATACATTTAGTCTAGATGTAGTCTAGACGAATGGCGACCGCCTGCACCCTCTTCCCTGTCTCTTGCTTCTGCGGCGCGATGAAAGGTAGCTGGAAATGGAAACTGGGGAAGCCTCGCGGGCAAGCGCGAAGCGTTATACAGTAGGCAAGCACGGCTTTTGCGCCAGCTGTGTTTACATCAGCACACCTGCAAGAATACTTAAAATGGTGTTACAATGAAAAGCATCACTAGTCCCATTGTGTAATTCCAATGAAAAGCATTGCTAGTATACAGCCTGCAAATCTCAAAGTATAGCAAGTTTCCAAGACATCACGATCTCTTGCAATCTCTTGCAAAGGCATCGCAATTATAGGTGCTCTAATATGGGCGGCACAAATGTACAGAAAAAAAGTACAACCATTTGAGAATATATACGCACAAGCATTGACTTTGCCTCTCGTACACCATGCCAAGACATTTCCGTATGAGCACGAGCGAGGTTATATAAAAGCACAAAACAGTTGTTTTTTTCGCCACATGCAAACTGCACTAACGGCGTGGCAGCCTTTTCGATCCTCTGTGGGAGAGCCGCCGTGCTGTCCATTATCATTGAGTACAAACCAAACAACGTTTATGGTGTTGGTCTATATCGAAAACAGCAAAAGAAAAATTGTCTGTGCATTAGAAATGAAAACAAAGCAGAAACCACGTCTGTAGGACTGTTTTCTAAGTGTGGTCACACTAAGCGCCACGGCCATCAAAAAATTGCAACAGAACACATTTTGTAAATTTGTGTAGGTTTACTTTATGTTTGTTTGGGACCTGTGTGCATCATATCTGCTGCCAATGAAATGCAAAAGGTGATGTGCTGCTTTTAGTATGAAAGCTCGAGTAAAAGTAAAGTTAATTTTCAAACTGAAGATACATGTGCTGCACCTTTCTTTCTGTATGACCGAAGAATGTGTACAAAGAAAATGAAAACAAAAAGAGATCTTCAGCTGATTGTTGACTAGGAAAGGTTTCTATGCCCCCCCCCCCCCCCCCCCCCACCACCACCCCAAAAAAGTATCCAGGCCCCACCGACCACCTTGTGGTCTTTGTTCAGCAATTTGTGTACACATCGATATTGTCAAAGTTAGGACCCTTAATCATCACACTATTGATGCATATCTAGAAGAAATTTTAAAGCCAGCAAAACAGACCCCAGAAGAAAAAGAACTTCAAGGAAAATAAGTTTCCTATTCGATCAAGACAAATTGTACTTGTTGCTTTTTTTTTTACCGTTCCCAAGTCTCCCGAAAAATCCCAAGAAGCGCCCACTTTACAGTGTGATGAGCCATACAGGGTACTCACCTGCCCTTTTGCTGAGGGTGTTCTGTGTAAGTAAGTTTCTCCACAATGGAAATCTCATTACAGAAGGTCAGCTGAAAGAACAAAACACAGGAGCATTTAAGAAGCTTATAGCATACCTGCATACAGTACACTAAAAAGTTGTTAATTTAAAGTCACTGGGACTAACAAAAATCTTTGAATTAAATAGATTTTTAATCAATGAAACATACGAAAATCAGGATGCAAAGAACTCTGCATTACTTAAAGTAATCAGAATTGGTCGTTTGCTGTGCCTGCTAGTTTGTGGCTCCCAATGGTTATTTCTTTCTAAAAATACCCAGTTTCAATTTTGCCGCAAACCCAGCAAAAGGCGATCCTTATTGCTGCCAGCAAAAAAAAGAAAAAAAGAAACACTATCGGCTCAGCTGAATGCGCACCTGCGATAAAGAAGACATGCTTCATTGCAGCACAGTGATCACACACAGGTCACCTGCTCCTCGTAGCATCAGCGTGTCATCATGCGACCATCTGCGCATTCTTTATGACAAAATGAAGAATGTAACAATGGTCAATGTGATGAAATTCGTAATGTATTCTAGATGAAAAAACATGATCATTTAAGTTTTCGAAGTAGGCGTTGCAGGTAAGAACTCCGCCAGCAGCGCAAGTGTTAAAATTGCCAGAGCAACTGCCAATTGAAGGTTTGCATACATCCCGAATGTGTCAGGCCATTCTTCCCCTATTATTCTTTTTGTTTTCCCCAAAAAAGGATGGGTAAATCATGCGAGAAGCATGTGACATTGCGAGAAGCATGCGGCATGGTGTTCACATGTCACAGCTGTGCTGCAGTGAAGCACGTCTTTTCAACAGGCACATTTGTCAGCTGACCACAAGACAGATTTTTTATCTTTTGTGCTGGTAGCAGTGAGACTGGGCTGCTTCGCCTCTAATTGGTGTCACTTCACTGCACTGCCTTGTAACTCCTAAAGGCCCTCTTTCTCGCAGATTGCATCAAAATCGGGATCGAGAATTGCCGCGTGGCACCCAAAATTTCTGAATTGACTGGGCTGGTGCTGACCGCTGCTTTCAAGCTATCCACTCAAATATACATAGCAAAATATAGGACCACATAAAAGTTTTCAATTTTAGTGAGAGTTCTAAATAACTGAGTTCAAATTATTGAGGTTTTACTATATAGATATCTATTAAATGTGGATTCAAACACTGTTGCTAGGTATAAAAAAGAATCATATGCTCATATCATCAAGATGCTGATTTACATACACCACCAACCATCTTAAAACAACACTATGACAGGCAGCCACAATATGGCCTCCAATAAAAAGGACCGAAAAAATATTTTTCTAGGCCCAGTTTTTTACGATCAGGAGTGCAACAGACGAAATACAATTTGGAGCAAGTTTCAGAGCAGCAAAATGTTGCTTTTGGAGTACAAAAATCCAAATTTGAAGCAGGTTACGGGGGAAAAAATCATACATTTTTTTTTTATCTTGAAATACCAAATTTGGAAGAGCAGTATCAATAAGAAGACTAACATTTTGAAAAGAGAAATATATACATATTGCCATGTTCTTTCCTTCAAGTTTTGTTATCGTCCCGTTACACTATATTCAGCGCAAACCGCATCTACGGTGTTAGAGAAGCTTCGCGGCAGTAGCAGATCCTTTCCTTAAGATTACGACAACTTCGTGAACCTTTCAGATTATTCTGGAACTTACATTGCCACTAGCGATAACGCTAGAATGTTCGATGGCAAGTGTATAAATGCCGACACGCTTCGCCGCTTGTCAGTTAATGGACGGCCGACGCCCTGCTCGCCGTTATCACTGCCAGCTTCTTGCTATAATCTGACTTTCCTTTTACGTGTTGACAAGTTCGGCCCGATTAAACAGTTTATTATTCAACCTGCAGTCTGCTTCCTTCGTTCACATCACGACTCTGTGACAATATATATGTACAAGCCATTCAACATTATTTAAATCATGCAGTGTGAACATGAGCACTGCTATCTCAATGAAAGTAGTATTTTGAACCACCCTACTGAGCAAACAGTGATGAAGTCTTCATTAGCATTCGCTGCGCCTGTCAAATCATTAGACAGACTCGGCGAATTTAAATATAGATCTGCCAAGTTCCCGACCTTGAAATTTGGGAGATTTGTAAAACCGAGGAGTAGAGGTGGCAAAAAAAAAACTAGCACAGAGTTTTTCTTTCTTTAGGGAAGCATAAATGCCATACACTACTTCATATGATTGCCAGTAGCTTGTCTAGACATCAGTGATTATACTGGTACTCAGAATTATGCGGTGTACAAATGCATGAGTAACCTAGCAAAATGTGCCGTGTCTTGCAAATAGCACTAACAGCCCCTTTCAAATCTCAATACGCTTTTTCGCTGGGCACCAGTGTACTGCAGCAAAAGTGGCTTAAGCAGCATTTTCAGCACGGGTTAGAACCAAATCCAAAAAATTTTCTAAACGCTACACCTCCATTCTCCCCCAACTTCCCATCTTTTTTCTTCTTTCGTTGAGGCGGGGGTAGTGTGACGCCTCGGCTCTCTTGTAAAGCGCGTTCCACCAGGCAAAGTAACAATGGCGTGTGCCCACTAGCCTGGCGACGGTTCAGGATATCTATTGCCAGAACCTTGGTCGAGACAACGCAATTTCAAAACAAAACAAAAAAATGTTTTGTGTGCCACTACTAAGGCAACCAACGAACGTAGTTACTGGCAACGCTGGCGTTCTCAGCACATCAAGCTAGTTTGCACGAGGAAAACACGGCATACGCTTCCAGCTTTCATTCCTAGGAAGCCATGGCTGCATTTTCAGGCCAGAAAATTTACATTTACCACAAAGCGTTGGTGGCTACAGCAATGCATTTTTGTCTTGAAGTTCCGTCGTTCCGCCGATAGGTATTTGCTGAGATCAACAGAGCAATGGGCACGCAGCGTTTTTACTTTATCTGGTTATATTTTAAATACAATATAGGCACTGAGGTCAGCGCGCCTTGATAGGTGCTGCAAACTGCAAGTGGTGGACGTGGCCTGCAATTCTAGCTGAAATTAGCGGACCAAAGAAAATTTTGAGGATGGCTGGGCATTTCAGCGAATTTAAAGCTTTTGGCGCAGCTCGGCGCAAAACTGGAAATTGTATCAAATTAGCGCAACTGGCGCAGCTGCTGCACCCTTGCACCAATAACATTCTAAGTGTGAAAGAATGAAAGCTTACTGCAACAGTTATGGAGTATCTTGCATTATGCACACCTGATGCATACGCCGTCACTATAATGATGAAATTTAGCCGTTAGTACTGATGATGAGCAGCAAGGCACTCACCAACGTGGAAAACGTGGCTGCTTTCGTGCAGGTTTTCCCATTTACTCATGGTGGCACCAGAGAAGAATGCGCCCATATATCTTTAAATCTTGTTCGAAGCCCTAAGGCCATAGGCACTTGTGCCACCATAGCTATCAAAGCAATGAGGCACTCCTGTCTGCTCAGATTCAACGCTATGCGCTCGCCGCACCACAAGTGACACTGCACGTGACTTTCAAGGCACCCTCCCATATAGGTCCCAAATGGAGTATATATAGGTTGAGCACTCAACTGCTGTTGCAGAATAAACAAACGAGCGAAAGAGAAAAGGCAAGACTTTGTAACTGAAAATAGCAGCCTTTACAATTTAAACCCACATGTTTTCTTCATGAAAAAACATTAATTATTCATTTTTACATACAGCCAGTCCCAATGGGGGCTAATGCTGGAGGGCAACCAAATTACACAGGAGATACACATACATTGAAAAAGTGAAAATGCATGACTACAGATACTATACATTACTACATGGAGTGTAGGAAACAATAAGCATCGCATCACATCAAAGTGGGGATAGCATGCAGTCAAGGTAAGAGAGCCAATAGTAGCTGTGATTGATTGATATGTAGGGTTTAACGACCCAAAACCACCATATGATTATGAGAGACACAGTAGTGGAGGACTCTGGATGTTTCGACCACCTGGGGTTCTTTAAGGGGGCCAACTGGTCTTTGGGACCGAAAAGTGACAAAAAAATTCATTTTTCAAAATTTACATATTTGGTTTCTGCAAGTTTTTTCCTATCTCTCTGCAAATTGTCACACACCAGGAAGTGGTAATTTTTTTGTAATGTCATTCTAACTGTCCAGATTCTTTGCTGTTAACATGCAGAACCTGCAAAAAAATGGGGAACCGGCTTCAAGGCTTCTTCATAATTTGCCGGCACCTGTGTTAGAAGCTGTGCTACAAATTTATGAGCACCTTATATTATGAGAATTGCAAAACATGTGCATCTTTATTGTTGCTTTCTGAAGAAGCTGTGTGTTTTCAGTTTTTTCTATTTTTCCCGAAAAAAGTTAATTTACGACTTCGATTCTGAGGCCTCAATATCTCTGCAGCTAGGGAAGGTACAACAGTAATTCTTTTTGCAATGGAAACCTGTATGTGTGTAGAATGCAAGTATGGGAGCAGAATTTAGAGCACAAGCCTTTTTAATTATTTACTCATCAAAACTGTAACACAAGTCCAACTGCTTTTCAAAATGAATAGTTCATTTTGCTGTTAAATAACCAAGAAAAGCCTAAAAACAAAAACCTCTTGTATACTTTCAATGTATTGTCACTAGTTTATGCTGGCATATCTTAAATGCCACTTTCAACTAAGCAATTTTTTCCCTGTGGCGGCCTTAAACAACAGGAGGCAAACTTATGTCATCTCTCGAATGAGATAAATTACAGTAAAAATAATTAAATATTTGAATTCAGAAGAAAAAAACTGCATAATTTTGTGCAGTTTGATCAAGATCACCGAAGAAATGAACAAAAAAAATGTCTAAGACCAGTCTGCCCCCTTAAACGTTCACCCAAATCGGAGCACACGGGCCTACAGCCTTTTTAAATAGATATGTGGGGTTTAACGTCCCAAAACCACCATATGATTATGAGAGACGCCGTAGTGGAGGGCTCCGGAAATTTCGACCACCTGGGATTCTTTAACGTGCGCCCAAATCTGAGCACACGGGCCTACAACATTTCCGCC